TTTAATTACAGTAAAATATTAATGATGTAAATCTGACAATCAATCAATCAATATTTCACTAAACCTGATCCACCTTCATCTCCAGTTCAACTAACCAGTCTGACCCAAACCAGCTATCAAACCACAGAAGAAGAATCAACTTCTTCAAACTTCTACATCTGCATCCATTACAGACTGAAACAGTTTTAGCTCCAAGAAGAAATTGATTATCGATTTAGAAACGATGATCTATCCTTCAGTTTTCTGCTGAACAGGAACTCAGTGTTTAGGGATCTATAAAAATAGCCTCGCTGTCCAGGATGGCAGACAGTTTCACTGAAGCTTTGCTCAGACGCTGGTCTCCCTGCTGGTCCTGCAGGATCAGAGGTTCCTTCAAAGCTCTCATCTTATTGGCCGACAGACGTGAGACCTCATCCTTTGTCAAATCAGTCCAGGCTCCAGCTAAACCATCAAAAATTAGGATTTTAATCACATTTTTTTCTGATCTACTAAATAAAAGCTTTAAGTCTGCAGAGAAGCATCATTTGTTGGTAAAACAGCAGAACATAAAAAACGGTGAGATAAGATAAACGGTTCAGCTCCTTCGCTTTGCGATGATGCAGAATCTACATGCAGGCGGGTCATAGAGCGTTTATCAGCACTGATAGCCGCCGGCTCGTTACATAGAAGGTGCAGACTGCATTATGTTCTCACAGCAAAAACACAATAACGGTTGTTAAACTGTTTGAGCCTCAGAGAAAATGTGGGGATCATTAAGGGGAGAGAAACAGAGCTGCAACAAAGCTCAGAGTAATAACAGCTCTGCAGGGATTCTAGAAACACCATCATGCCGGAGCTGCAGCAGATCTTTCCTCTCACACATCTGAGCTCTCCACCAGGTAGACGCATCATAAAGCCTGGAAGGGATCCACTGGTGCAGCTTTTATGGAGTTTTCAGCAGACTGGGTTTATCTCCTCCAACTGGTCAGAAAATCTAATCTGACTCAGGAGAAAGTTAGGCTTTAAATAGAAACGGATATCAGCAGAAACTCAGCTTCTTTTAAAGATGAATCTATGTTCTCACTGTATTCCAACTGGGAATGGGTATGAATGGGGGGGGGTAAAGGCTTGTAGCCTTTTCATCCATTAGCCATGCACTAAAAGTGCGATAAAGCCCCTTTAATGGTCCTTTTAGAGCAACATTCTCATTAATATCTATTATCTGCTTTATTTTATTGTTGTAATCTTTGTGATTTAGCACTAATGTGTTTGTTAGCCAGGACCAGCGTACCTGAGGGGACAGTCTGCTGCACGGCGTGCCACCATCCCTTATTGATCACACTGAAGAACCCAGGAAGGCTAATGTGATTTCATTAAGATGCAATCACAGTCAGCGATTCCAAACACAGGAGACGCGTCCTCGCACGTTTCCACGGCAACAACCTCTGAGCCTGAAAACAGGGAGAATCATTCAGCCACTCTGAGCTTTCTTCTAATGGTTCTCAATTATTCGCTTACATCTCCTCCCTGAGGGTCCACATAGAAACAGTTCACAGCAAAAAGGCCGACACAGATTGAGAAGAAAGCTGCTGGGTGAAATACGAAGGATGGAGAGTCAGAGAGCAGCGATGAAGCTCCAGAACCCGGCT